CACACATTTTTTGAAATTTTTCAGTTTTTATAAATACCCAGGTTTTTGCAGCTAACACACTCTTCACTAGTCTTTTGAAAATTCTATTAAAACATGTACATGCTCGGAAATACAGTTTTTACATTAAGAAAATAGAATAGTCATAGCATGAATATAAAGATTGCCAGTCTTTTATTTTATACTTTATTCTATCAATGTGATCTGAGATTTACAATTTATAAAAAAATTATATAGCTCTTTTTTTTTCATTAATTTTTTGTTGTTGTTTTTCATTTCTAGAAACAAAATTAAAGCATAATTTAATCATAGTATGGTGCAATTAAAGCATAATCTAATCATAGTATGGTGCTTTTAATACAATTATGAGAAGGTATAATCTAATAACCATGAAGTAGTAGAACATTTAGCAGTTTACATTTGACCAGTAATGTTTAATTATGAAATCCATGGTTCTTTTGTATTGCTAATTTTGTGATTTGAAGTTTTCTTAAGAAATGTAAAAGTTTTTATATCAGTTGTCAATTGTAGTATTTGGTAATAGGAAAACAGGTGCAAAAAATTAATTCTCAACCTAAAAAAAAAGTAACCACAGCATAGAAAAAAATAACGTATACTAAACATCGTGTTGACAAAGACCCCGACCACCTCTGTTGGCTCAGCAGTTAGATTGAAGACTTACGATGCTAAAATTTGGGGTTCAACCCCCGCAGTGGTCACAGCCCATTGTGCAGCATTGCACTTAACAGTAAATAAACAAAATCGTGGAAAAGTTTTTCATTGTAGTTTCTTTATGAACTAAAAGTTTGATTTGTGTAGAAAACCATAAGACTTACTTTTATTGAGTGTCATATACTATTAGAAAGTGTAGTTTAAGTTCTTTTCATGAATAGTTTTTTTATAATCTTGACTTCATTTGTGAATACATTTGAATATTCAAAAGATAATGATTATGTGTTTAACTGTATTTTAGACTTTGCTGTTGCTTGTTAATCTCACAAAAGGAAACGCCAATATTCAGAAAATAGTTGCCTTTGAAAATGCTTTTGACAAATTACTGGATATAATAGCTGAGGAAGGATATAGTGATGGAGGTAAGATAACTTTTTTTATTTGTAAATATGCGTGGGTGGAACAAAAAACAGAAACATCTATTTATAGATGTGTTCCATTCTTCCCCAATGTTAAATGGACGGGATCCTCAGCTGAATGATTAACCTAATGTGCACAGGGTCGGTCCATTGGACCGACCCGTATTGGAGAAGGAATTTTAAATATAATTCTGAATTTACCAGGTATATCTTTATGAAATGTGCCAAAATTTTAGTCAAGTGTGCAAGTCTGTTGTACACAGACATATCTTGAGTACAAATACTTTTGTACAACATCCAATTTTTTTGTCTGATTCTGACTGACAAGTCCGAATACAAGGTGATGTTCATACAAAGAACAAAAATACTTTTATTTACTTTCCTCTAACATGAACTGTCACTAAACCAATGGTGTAGGATAAAATGAATAGTTGACAACTCTGATATCAAATATATAATACCATGTTGAATGGCACTCTATGAAAGGTTGTTGCATGTACACTTTGACCCCTACCCATGTACATAGGGTTCATTGTTATTCCAGTGACCTCTGAGATTGATTATCTGTATAATTTAAACATATTTCACATTATTTTTGAAGCAACATGGGGAAAAATGTGTGACTTAACTAACTTCCAACGATAAGAAATTGTAGAAACCTATTTAATAGGTGCTTTAGTGACTCAAACTGCACAATTTTGTGAGAGGAAACCTTTAAAAGCTATTACAGAATGGTGATTATTCCATAAACGTAAAAACTGTTGGAAGATCATCAAGAGTGAATGAAACTGCCATATTTTATGTCATATTTTGTCCTCAAGGAATGGAACCTGATTCTTAAGTAATTTGCAGATGCCATACTATAAACAATTAAAGCAGTTCTAATATCCAGAGATGGAACCATGTGTAATCATGCCACTTCTACTGGGTATTTCTAATTTGTTTTCAAATCTCTGTATATGTTTTTTATTATATTCATTACCGAACCAAAGGTTGTGAGTTTGAACAAAAACAATACATGAATAAAAATGTATTTCGTGTGGCCAAAAATAATAATTTTTGTGTTTGCAAACTAGTGTTTTATTGGGGGATTAAGACAAAGTAAATAAATTTTTATTTATCTAGTTCAATGTAAAGATAACTTTACTAAGTTTAATCCTATGTGCTTGAATTTTGATGTAGAGATACCATTGAAAAAAACCAGGCAAAAAAAAGACTGCTTTTGGAATATCAGATATTGCTTTATGGTTGCATTTATAATGAAAAATAAAAGCAAATTGCAGAAAGAGAACATTAATACTCTGTACCTATAGCATATAAAAGTGCATTTAAAAAAATTGCACTTATATAAGGTAAGCACAAGAAGGTAACAGAAGGTCACTTGTCCATCCATGAAAGCAGTAAATCAATAATACTTGTAGTCATTTGCATTCATATAACTATCAAACAAAATCTTGAACCATGGTTGTGGTTCATTATAAGGGTCATCTGTTTGTTCTTCTTTATTATTATTATTATCTAAGGTTCTTTTGCCAACCTACAGCAAAAATGGCTGTGAGTATTGTAATATTATTAGGCAGTATTACTAAATGCATCATAGTGCATTGTGTAAGGTAGTTTTTAAGTTTATTTGACTACCTAGCAAATAACAGTAGCTGTATAACCATTGACAATCATTTTAATGTAGTATGTAGTTTATATGGAGCCTCATAACTTACTACATCAATACATATATAGCTGTGTGCAGGCCATGTATGTAAGTTAAGGGTTATATGGCAGGCATGACAGATGTACCATAGTTGTTATTAACTCATTGTTGAAACTGTATTGATATCGAGTTTCATTTTATGTATAGGATTCTTGCCCTTTCAGACATGGTGCTACTGACAGGATCACAATTTCCTTTAAATCGCATAATCGATTTTGGCAAGTTACACAAATGTCTTAAACATTACACAAATATCTAGGCTATCTCCCATAACAGAAATCTTTAAGCCATAGTTTAAAAGATATCAACAAGATCAGTTTTGAGCATCTGATCGGCAATCATGTTGATAACTGATGGTATGTATTGAATTATATCCGACACTGCATTATTGTGAATTTTATAGATAATGCAGATAGAGTAGCCATACTTGAATCTGATTTTAAAAAGTAGCAAGAATCATGTAAGCAGGAGATGGAGAAAGTGATGGCAGTTCTAGGCAAAAGTAAGGAAGTAATTTTGTAGCTATATATTTTAATCAGCCCACCAGAGTTTATGATCGTCACAGTGGAAGAGGGTCGTAGAAGTGTCACGACCCAAACAACAGCAGGCTAGATTTCCTGTTAGAGTGACATTCTGCACACTATACAAAGTCAAAAACATGCTATTTAACAATTACGAATTGATTATATTAATATACCTCCCCTTCCATTTCTGATTGAGCAAAACTGTGACTGGCCTTATTATGGCCAGCAGAGAAAAGGAAGAGGATGGGGGAAATATAACAACTACAGAAAATATTTAAATTGCCTATTTGTGTACATATCCTATTATATAATGACACATTGTCTTATATTTGCATTGAATATAAATATATGCTTCTATACAACTCAAAAAACTATAAAGCCTGCATATTTACATATATAGATATAAATACTAGTCAATATGCATTGCATGTGCATGCATATATAAAACTCATCTGGTTACAAAATCCAGTCCATACACCATTCCATTATAGTTCAGTAGTCTCTCCAATTCAGTGTTTACAGAATCCCCATATAGCTATGTATGTTTTACAAGCATAAACATAACATGTGGTTTGCTGATCACCATGCATCATAGTGATCATACATGTAGTACCACTATCAATGATAACATTGTGGCAATGTATCGGGAACAATAGCCATCCTATCTACGTGAAACCAATCCAAAGGTTGTGAATGTTTCTCGAGAGAGCATCACACACCAACTACATATTTCATTAAACTGTTTCAAATAGGACTGTATTGCTATTATACAGATTTATGTCCAAGATGGGCATAAAAAACTAAAGAAACAAGATTATTAAAAATTGTTAATTTAAAAGTTGAAATAGGGATCTTAAAAAAAAACATTACAGAAACAAGATAGGTAGCTTAAAGTGAAAATGCAATCACAAAAAAGTAAACAAACAAGCTTATTTTGACTGCATGTTTAAAAGAATTTTAGAATTTTCTTTTAAATAAAAACTTTTATTTAGCCCAGAAATATATTTAATTTACAACCAAGAAAGTGCTATTTACTAGTCGATTTACTTTTGTTAGAATCTGCACTTGATTTTATTCACATAATTGTTTTAAGAGCATCACAGATTAATGCCAGGATATTATCATTTGATTAGAGACCATGAAAGTGTTCATGCTTTGATATTGAATTTTTCTTTGAGAGTATTATACTTACATTTTCTAAAGTTCAGCCTTTAATTTTTTGTATAATTGATACTTGAAACTGTTGGTACTTGGTGAAATTCCATAACTACAGAATTGATGAAAAACAAGTTAATTGTACATTTCACAAATACACCATTTATTACGACCATGGTTTCGTCAGTAAAGGCATCATCAGGTACAGATGATGCTTTTACTGGTGAAACCATGGTCGTAATAAATGATGTATTTGTGAAACATACAATTGTCTTGTTTTTCCTCAGTTCTTTAATTTTTTTGAATTTTATGCAACTACTGGTTTTTGAAAAAATATTTAAATTGTCTAATACTTCCCTGAGATGGGGCTGTTAACCAAAGTTGGAGAACAAAAATACATAAGAAAAGTACTTTTATTTCAGTTCTGTATTTAAGGTAGTTTAGAATGAAAAAGAAAGATAAATTGTTTTTTTTACAGGTGTAGTTGTGGAAGATAGTATGGCTGTACTGCTCAACCTGTTGAAAAATAACTCTTCCAATCAGAATTTTTTCAAGGAAGGAAGCTATATTCAGAGGTTGACCCCTTATTTTGAATTACAAGGAGATTCATCAGGAGGAGATATGGGGTGGTCAGCACAAAAAGTCAGCAACTTACACTTGATGCTACAGGTAAAAGATTTACAAATTGTTAAAGTACTTGTTAGTTTTGTCATACGGTGATTCATTTTGGTAAATAATTTTGGATAAACTTAAAGGTCAAACATGAAAACATTGTAGGGTTTCCTCTAGACATGTCAAATATTTTTAAGATTAGTTCAGTTTAAATATGGTATCATTTGCTACAATAAGTTTTTAATGAAATGTGACAAACATATTTAGGGTTTGTTTATAATGGAACTCGTTTTTATAGCTTTCAAACTATTGAGAGAGAAGCTTTTGTTTTAATTTTTGTCAGATCACAACTTTGTTATCTTGACAATAGGTATCATCTCTAGAGTAATTTGATAAATTTTAACAAGGTTTAATTCTGTTGCACAAAATCATAAGTCATCAGATGGATGAAGACAGTGTTTACATTTTCTTCAAAATCTCAGGAAATCAGTTAATGCTGATAACAATATAAAAGTTGTTTTCAGGGGCCTGTAAGCTTTTATTTTGCATTTCATTTAGTCATGTCATGGTCCTAATGATGTAATTTTTATCAAATGAAATTGCTTTAGCATTAAATCATTGTCATAAGTACATTATACAATTAAGAAATCTAGTAAGTTTCCATACCCAGGGTTGAAATTGTATTCATACTAATTCTTTGAATAGATATACTTAATTCTGTTAATGTGATGTGTCAGATTGAGAGTTTAAATTCTTTGACAATAAAAAATGTTTACAAAGTTATATTACAATGAAATTATTGTTAGTAGTCCATACTTCTACCACAATAATGTTTTGAAATAATTACTATTGCACAAAATTAAAACTTGTTTTAATTGGCTTAATATCTTTGTCTTTTATGTTTTAATTCATGAGTGTCATATGTCTGATAAATTGTAACTAAAACACATTTTAAACTATAATGATGACTTTCTTTTACAGGTTATAAGAACACTCGTGTCTCCTAACAACCCACTTCAAGTAATATCATCATGTCAAAAAGTAATGAATCAGTCAGGTAAAAAATAAAACATTATTGTATTTACTTCTACCATTTTATTTCTTTTTATCATAACAAATGTAAATGGTGCTAAGCCTATAAAATGTACTGTTTTGTACTTTTTTATCTGTATTATTTTTATTAATAGGCATATATTCCCAAAATATAATCTATTATTAAAATATTTTATTTTGAAAATGCATATAACTAGATTATTAACGGATGAGGATCTCATTGGATGATTAAATTTAATATCATGATCAGCTTTATAATGGGTTTTTTTTAAGCAATTCAAACTGACATTTCAGTCCATAGGAATGGGGTAATGGGTCTTCAGGCAATGTATGATTAACAAAATTGACAAATTCATAGTGTAACAGTTATTCTTGACTGTGCATGTGTTAAATTTTAAGTACTTAACATAGGTAACAAAAATTATTTACCAAAAATATAGTCCCCGCTGCTGTGGCTCAGCTGTAAGTCTGAAGACTTATAACACTAAAAATTGGGTTTTGACACCTGTGGTGGGCACAAGACAGATAATCCATTGAGTAGTTTTTTGCTTAACAGCAAACGAACTGAACATATAAAAATACGAAACACATAAAAATAAAAATGTAATGTGGAATTATATGGATTATAATTAGTAGAGATAGAAAGGAATTCTGAAATATTTGTTCAAAAAAAAAAAGATTTAATGTTTTGATCTGTATAGCTTCTGCAGTTTTTCTTCTCTTTATATCAGCTTCACCTTTATATAGAAATTTAATGTTGCTTTCATATGTGCTGTATTTGGTTTCTTTTAAATGTTCAAAACCATTGGACTGTCCTTTCAAGAGTTCTCTTCCAGTTTCACCTAAATAAAATCAACACAAGTTACATATGATTTAATACATTATTCTTTTGATATCCTTTTGTTTTGGGTATTTTCTTCAATTGATATTCTTTATTTTTATTCCTTGTTTCTCTGTGGTTAAGGAGTTGATTTTAATGTGGTGCTTTTTGAAGTGGCATTTCTATATTTTGGCAAGATGCTGACATGTTCAATAAGTGGGATAGTGGTTGTAATAAAATTATAGTAGTTTTAGGATATTTGCTTTTTTGTGCAAGTTAGTATTTTTTGTTCTGATTGTGTACTTGAAATGAATTGAATGTTTTATGAATGTTTTTTAATTTTCCTTTGGGGTAATAATTTTTATGAATGAAATCTCTGATATTCTCCTTAATACACTGTATAACTCTCTGAGTTACATTTAAAACTTAATTAAGTAACTTTATTATCAACATATGTCATTATACTTGTTATCAAATGTACTCTATAATTTAGATTTTAATATTATATAAGTTTTAACTTTGTAATATCAAAAGGAAATATTTATATAAATTCTCATTCATCACTTTTCTATATCATTTGACTCTTCTTTGCTATGAATTGCCTTTTTTTAGATTTTTCTTTACTTTTATTTGCTCTGAGTTTGTCATAAATAACACTTATAGTATAGATATTGTTAAGCCATAGTGTAGATTTATCTTCTTGCTTTACTGAGATATAAACAAGAAAGTCAACCCCATATGATCTCCTATCACATCCTGTTTCTCAAAAAATATCAGTGAATCTCTCTGACATTTGCTATTGGATTATTTGTAACCAGTAAAAAGAAAATATTTAACCCTTTCACAACAGTCTCCTGCAATTTGCAAGAGCCCAAATGGGGAAGGATACTTGTGCAATAACACATATGATAACTCTGAACTTTCTCAATATACCCTCACAAAAACTGGTAAGATTTTGTTAAAGATTATAAGTCTCTTGTACACTAAGAATGATATTATTTTACTTAAGTCTTTCTACCAAAAATATATTATTTATTTATTGTAGTTATTGTATTCATGCTTTGAATAGTCCAAGTGCTAGATGATTTTCATTTTAAGTATAAAAATACTCTTCTTAAACTTAACAGTTTTTGAATTTTAATTGCATAACCTCTAGAACCTCCTAAATGAATATCAAAAGATTTTATAAGGTAAATGTTTATATTTAATTTTTCATTTTCACTACCATATCATTAACTGTAAATATTAGCAACGTACAGTGCAATGAAAGTTTTAAAATTAAGAAATAGAAAAATGTATATACCTTTTATTTTTTCATAGAATATCTTTATAGATCTTCTTTTGGTTATATTCTTAATTTTAGGTCTTTACCTTTTCACATATAATTATTTTTAATGTTTTATTTTTCTTTCATGTCCTTTATTTATCTCGACACAAGTCAGTGGTGCCCTTGGGGCATATTACAGTAAATCTGGGATAGATATGCAAACCTTCAGCAAAATTTGTGTGCACTTGCTCAATATCGTAAGCATTGAGAATTGAGGCAAAGTTTGAGATATATTAAAAAATGTTTCAACCTTTCAATTATGCCTTTTAAGACATAAATAATACATAATTGACTAAAATATAAAAGTAAAACCTACATACAATTTAACTGTCTCTCTACTATAACATATTGTTACGTCTCCGTTTGTTAATTGATTTTCCGTAAATTCGTTCCGACGAAACTTTAGCAACACAAGTCCTTACTTAATAAAACTGGTTTATTCTTTTCCGAATATAACTTTACGTATAC